GCAGTGCCTGGATGGGGTTTGGATGCTTTTTTTTGTTTTGTTTTGTTTTTTTTTTTTAAACAGGGTAGTTCAAAGGCTTGTCTCAAAATGAAATTGTTTTGGTTTACTGCTGGTGAATAATTTAAAAGATTTTAAAAGCTTAAATAGCTCTAAGAAAAGACTCATCTGAAATGACTGTTGTTGTCTTCTTTCTCCCAAAAGTCACTGGAAACCTGAGGGAACCTTGATTGCATTTGGGTTTGATGTTTTGGCTTAGTCTGACCTGGAAACCTGCTCCTGGTGCATTTGTGGACAGGTGGAAGCAAAACGAGCAAGGTAAGGAGAAGAGCTGGAAATACATCCCCTGTCTTCTATCCCCCCTCTCTGCCTGAGCCCTTTCTGTCTTTAATCAAACCATCACAAAGGTTGTTTCTGTGGCAAAACGATAATCAGCCTCGCTGCTGATTGCAGTGAGTTTTCACCACCTGGTAGGACCAGGGAAGAGCGATGCTTTCAGCCGCTGTAAATCAGCCCAGCACTGCTTTCCCTTCCAGAGAACCCCGCTGATTTATGTTGGCCTCACAGAGGTCGCCGGCAGACGTGTGCCAGCGGATTAAAATCAGGCTGTTGGGTACCCCTGTCCTGCTGATGGATGTGACCACCCGGAGGCAGGGACATTTCATTTATGGCAGTTCAGGGGATGCTGTGGGTTTGCCGGGCTGGCAGTGCCTGGCAGAGGGGAAGTGTTGGGTGCGGTGGCAGCTCTGGGTGCCCAATTTTAATCTGAACCAGAGTCACATCACACGGCCTTTAACCTCACAAAACTCCCGTGGGCTGAAGAGTGAGCGCCTGGTGCTGGGAGACCACCCTGGGATGCTCTCCCTGGTGCAGGCAGCGTCAATGGGAGCACTGGGCTTTTATTTTGGCAGAGGAATAGACAGTAATCCCAGCAAGCAGAAGCCACAAATGCATCAGGGAATGAGAAGTAAACACTCTCCCAGGGTATGAAGCAGGTAGCGTGGTTTAGGTTTGATAGTTGGCACAAACGAGTCGTGTCTGATGGGGTTTTTCCAGGAAAGCCCCACTGTGCCTCACACACCATCCCTTCTCCCCTCTTCCTCTGCAGACCCCTGACCCGCTTGTCTTTGCAGGGGTCGGGGTGTGGGATCAGAGCCTCAAAGGGATCAGATTGTCAGCACACAGATGTAAGATCCTGGAAAGAGGTTCTCAGTTTTAATGGAATTAAACTCTGGAGTTTCCATAGGACCTTCCCTGCTTGGGGTACAGAGAAGTGCAGCAAGTTACACAGGGGTCTTCGAGGAGGCTTTGGGAAGGAGCCTCTACCGAAGCTGTAAGGGGGATCCTGATGTTGTAAAGTATGTTTATTTTCTCAAATCAAGTTGCAAATTCACAGCAACTTCCCCCAAGTTATGGAAATAAATACTCGGGACCGTCATGCTCAGAAACGAGCAACCAGCCGGGCTGAAAGGAAACATTTAGCTAAGGCCAGCCACAACTATTTACACGGGATGTACGTATGACATAGTAAACCTTGTACTGCCATAACACCTCCAGCCCCTCTCCCTCACGTTGGCTGCACAAGATCCCGTTTTGATGTTGCTTTGAAATAAAAACTTTCTTGACATCAATGTGCTCCGGCAAAATGTTTCAGTCCTGGTGAAACAGCATTTCCCAATTGGAAAACTCTTTAGTTTAAATATTTCCTTGTCTCTGCTGATGCTTCATGGGTTCGTGCCCTGCTTCCAGCATTGTTCTCTTCTGTGGCCAGCATGTGACAAGGCTTAAATAAGTAATGATTTGTAAAGTGCTTTGATAGCCTCTGATAAAAGATGCCCCAGAACACTGTGCATTACAGTACTGTGATTTCTCTCCCCATTTATTCAGAATGCATTAAATGTGTGGGCGTTCTAGTTATTTCCTCTAACAGTTGATATTTTACCCTGATGTATTTTTATCCTTGCTGTATTATATAACTAAGTTATGCTGGTGTCAATCTGAAAGCTCCAGCACTGTCAGTAAAACTAATCCAGTTTAACACAAGCCTAAGATGAGGACTGAATCCCTTGCGATAAAAAGCAGAATTAACCCAAATAAGTGACTTAAACTCCTCAAAGAGCACCTGGTCCCACTGTCCTTTCACTGGGAAAATTAATTAAAATCAACAAGAGCTAACTTTCACTCTCAGCTACCTCCTTGGTGTATGCCAGGAGAATTTGTACCCCGCGGTTCAGTTTCCTAAAAGCTTTGAACCTGGGGAAGCCACCGGAGAAGTCGCATGAGGAATAACTCCTCCTCTCCACCTGCATTAGAGCTGAGCAATCTTTCTGGTGAATAATAAATTCACCATGAAATGAGACATTTCCTGGGGAGCTAAACTATTCATGAATTAGATGCTCATTTGGCAAATCCCTTTGGCCAAACAAACTGAGAAGAACAGAAAAGCGTGAGGGGGTGGCGGAGGCTCCCGGCCGCTCGCACAGAGCTGGGCTGCACCTCGTCGTTTGGGTCAATGAGGAAAATGTGGTGTAAGCTCAGGGCCGGGCCGGGGTGCAAAGTCAGCAGGAGAAGACTGAGACCCCTGCGAGGTTTGGTTCACCCTCTGGAGATGGCACTTTCTCCTTAACGGCAGAGAGCGAGCGGATAATTAGCTCCAACCAGACATTTAACTTGGTGGCTACAGACGCTGCTGCCACTCGGTATTTTTTGAGCCCAAGTCTCTGAGCGCTTTATGCCAGCTCTGATTTTTACAGCAGACCAACATCTGTGGGGGTCAGAGGGGCTGCAGCTGGTGCTGGGAGCCAGGTGGCCCCTTCCGCCCCGTGTGACGGGGGCTTACCCCAAAGGCCCTGATGCCAAAGCAGCCCCTGCGCCCAGCCAGGCTGCGGCTGGGAGCCACCAGCATCCTCACCCAGCTCCCAGTTGCCCTCCCTGGGGCTGTGCTCAATCCTCCAACACTCCATCTGCTGAAAACTGGGGGAGCTCACGGGGGGCTGTTCCCTGGGAGAACGCGGCGTGTAGGAGCAGGCGTGACCCTGGAGACGTGGCCGTGTGGACGGGAAGGGACCACTCCAACCTCTCCCGAGGCTGCTCTCAGCCAGCGGCGAGATGGAGCTGGAAGGGATGCCCAGGATCTCCGCTCACCGGGTCAGCATGGCATCCCAGTGGCCGCCCCGAGGAAGCCAGGGACGATGTGCTGGGTGTGCAAGCGCCTGCGTGCAGAGGGGAGGAAAGGGAACAAACCACAAACACACACTGGGAACAAGCGCAGCTTCTAATTTCCCTGGACAGCAGCAATGCTGATGTGGATTTTTCCATCCCTCATCCCTCCCTCCATGCTCAGCTCCCCGGCTCGGTTTTCTCCCCGGTCACGGGAATCTTTCTTCCCTCCACAGAAGCAGGACACTTCTCAGTGACAGGGTGTGCAAGGCACCTACTGCCTCCACCAGCAGCAGAGCGGGGAGGGAGCTGCTTTTCTCATGAGCTCCTGCCTCATTCACAATTTGCTGTCAGGGTGGCAGCTCCTTCGGTGTCGGATTTTTGAAGACGGGTGCTGGCCATGGAGAGCAGTTAGGCGGCGGGGTATTCTGTGCGGGACGTTGTTCAGACCAAAAAGAGTGCAGAGCTCCAAAAAAGAGCTGAGATTTACTTCTTGGTACTTAAGAGTCTTGCAGAGCTGGGTTAATAAACATACAAAATTTGGTAAGAAACGTTAAGTCTTATGCTTTAAGTTTTAAGCCAGCCTCTAATTACTAGGGTTTAGGAGATTTCCTGAACCGTCCTCTGTAGCATCTGGCACTGAGCGTTCCTGGAAGCAAGATGCTGGAGCAGCCGTCCCAGCTCCGCAGCCTTCCCCAGCGCAGCTCTGCTTTCCCTGCTGCACGCTCCGCTCACAGCCCTGGCCCATCAGCTGCAGCTGATCGGGCACGCTGATGAGTCTGACAGGCCTTGATTGCAATTAAGTTGCTGCTACTCATTGCCCCGGGTCTGTTTTCCATCAGCAGGAGCAGTTCAGCGTGCGCAGCCGTCAGCCTGATTTTATTGGTGATCCAGGGGAAAGCAGCCGGGCTGCAGAGATGTGGGAATAACTCAGATAAAAAAAGTCACAAAAATTAGAAAATTCAGGTCATGGTCACATGAGGATCACTTAGCAGCGGGCATGGTAATTAGTGTCTTGATTTGGTGTCACCAGGGGTGAGCCCAGCTGCTGCCCCTCTGGGTTGGGGGGGCTGTAAGGGGGGTGAGAGCAGCGGGGGCTTTGCTCTGTGTCTGTGCCTAGTTGGACGGAGCAGGGCAAGGAGCAGCACGACCCAGACTGGGGATCTGGGAGGGGGGAGATGGAATATCCCCCACTCCGAGAGAGGGGGCTCTCGGTTCTGGCCTGGATGCAGCTCCAGCCTTCTTAAGGATGCTTCAAATCTTTACTTCTGGGTGGCAAAAGCCTCAAGATAGAAACGCAGCCCCGTGCGGTGTTTACCAGCACCCGTTTGGCTGCTGTTACAACGAGCATTTCGTGTCAGACTTTGTTCCCATCTCCAGGCTGGTGGTGCTGGCCGGCCGGCGCGGATCCCGGGCATCCCAGTGAGGAAGGCGTGTGTGGTGGTGCTGGTGCTGGTCCCATCTGTGCCCCCCGCTTTGCAGGGGTGACACCACAGCCACAGCGACCGCTCAGGCAGAGTACACGCGCTCGCTGCAGCCAGCAGTGGCTCCCGGCCCAACACTGGTACAGTTACTTATTTCTGCAATATTCCATACTATGCATATTTATAATGCCCTTTCTCCACAGACCCCAAAGCATGTTAATTGACTCATTAACAAACTGTTAATGGCTGTAGTAATTTAAGTCCTAAGCACACCTATAAATTAGAAGTTTTACTGACAGACTGAAGTGAGGATCCGAGGTCTGGCTTGGTTACAGCTCAGCCTCGTGGCCTGAGTTAAGGTGATTCTCTGAGCGGGGGAGCTAACGGGGGGTGGCTCAGCCTTTTCTGCGAAGCCCGGAGATGCTGCACAGCCATGGGAGGACTGAGGGCAGTTTTGTCATCCTGGAGACAGGGTACGTCCCCCTCGCCAGCTACGCGCTCAATCGGGGCAACTCGCCACGTTATGGGCAACTAAACGTCAACGAGAGCGCGTTCGTCGGTGCTGGTTTTATTTTCTCCTTAATGAAATGTCAAAGGAAGGGAAAACGGCAGCAAATGTCAGCAATTGGTCTTTTATCACATAGATGGTCACTCACAGGCCTTCTCAGTGAAGATGCCAGTTTATCAGGAGGGAAAAACCTTGGATGGATTTGACAGAGTGGAAGGAACTCAGATTTCCATTAGCGATCACCTTTTAGCCAGCCCCAGATACGCTGATTTGCTATAAACACACTCAGCTATAAATACAGCAGTGAGTGAGCAAAGCCTCGGGAGCGTGTGCTGTCCCAGGCTGGGGGGGTGGCACCGCTTTGCCAACTTGATTAATCAAAGCAGGGAGCAAACGAGCACCCGCTCTCGCCGTAAAGCGTAATGACTGTCACTGAACTTCTGTCCGGGGCTGCGTGTGCGGTGTAAAGATTGCTCCAAAGAAACCAGGGGTGGCTGGCTCAGCTGTGGCCCTACCAGCTGGGAAAACACAGCAGCGTTAGAAAAGAAAAAAAAAAAAAAGAAAAAGAAAAAGAAAGAAAAAAGCAGAAGTTTCACTGAAAAGCTGCATTTATTTTGTTGTGATTCGTGGATGCAAACACTGTGGCGGGGAGGGATGGTGGGGGGAATTTATCTGTATTTCCTGGATAGAAGAGATGCTGCTGGATGTTAGAAACAGTGAGGGGCAGCCCCGGTGTTGCAGCGCTGGAGATGCAAACGTGTGTTTCAGTGACGCCGCAGAGCTGAAGATAACCTTGAGAGTACGTGCGGAAAGAGCCGGTGGCTCGTCAGGAGAGACGACAATTAACGGGGAGATGGATGGGCGGTGACCAGCCGAGCGTGGTGGGGCTGGGGAGGTCAGCCCCGTGGTGCTCGCAGCCAGCGAGAAAGCAAGAAGGTTTCCAAAAAAATCACTGCTCTGCCATGCTTGGCACTCAGACTTAAATAAATAGATTTGACTTTGCTTGCCTGGCCCACAGGACCCGTCTGCCCCTGGGCTTTGCTTGTGGGGAGAAAAGGCTGGGCTGCCCAACGTGTGGGGCTGCGATTTTGAGCTGCCTGATACTCTTCTTTCCTGGGGGGAGATGACACTAGTAGGGTTTTTTTTACCATTACAGGGATATTTTAAAACATAACGATGACTTTCAGGGAGGCTGGCTTGGATGGCACAGCCACGTTCGAGACCTTGATTTAATGACTCCTCTCCCCCCGGGGCTGCCATCCTGGTCCTTCACTCCCCAACTGGAGCGGTGACACTTGAAGAAATCCATTCTGCTGCTCTCACGAGACAGCACGGTCCACAACGCGAGGGGCAAACGCTGACACCAGTGCTGGGACTCAGTGGGGAAACTCAGCCGGGGAAGGCAGCGCCCAGCCGGGTCTCACGCCCTTTGCAATAACAACGCGAGGGACAGGGATACACCTCGAAAGGAGCTACAAAGGTCAGTGCAGGAGCGGCTGCAGGCAGGGGAGGATCACAGCAGCAGGAACGCCGCGGATCTTCCCCCCGTTGGGATCGTGGCCAGTAACTGCCCGGTGAAATTGCCGCCGAGGAAACGACGGGGAGGAAGCAGCAGAGCGGCGTGTAAGTGCAGAAGCCACCGGCCGAGCGAACCGGAGCACGGTGTGATATATTTAGCCAGCGGTGGTGCAAAATACGGAAATAGGAAGATAAATCACAGATGTGTCCGATACCTGCCGGGTGGCTTTCTCAGGCTAGTTTATCAATGAATTAATTGCAAAGGTGTCTGCCTTAACTCATCGGACATTGGCAAGCGGGAAGCCCTCCAGTGAAATGCAGGCCGCTGGCGCTGGGCTTCATCCATGATTTAGTCAAATACCTGAGCCTGTGCTGCAAACCCCGGACTTCAGTTAGGCCTGAGCATGTGCTTAAAGTAAGCTCAGATGCTCAAGTGAGTTGCTGTGCGGAGATGGATCTATCTGTACGCTTAAATTCGTTCCTGACACAGCGATTTTTCAGGTTATTTTGGTATTTGCGTGCTGCTGCCCTCAGAGAGCCCCTCCGGTGTGGTTCGCCCTCAGAGGGGAAGTTTCTTCTTTCAAGTTTCGGTCACGGTCCCCAGCTCACGCCCTGGGTGCTCAGATCCAAACCAGGCACTGAACAGAGAGCGGAGACGTACCAGCAGCACCGTCCAGTTTTCGAGTGGGCTTTTTGGAAGAGAGACTCTGCTCAAACTCTGCTGCTCAGACTCCGTGTTCTGCGGAGGGGAACCGGCTGCTGCCATCCCGCTGCCCGACAGCTCGGCCTGGGGACTCCTGCACATCAGTTCCCGGCCACAAACGTGAGAGGGGATGTTAAAATTTAACTCAAAAGGGATTTTCAATTACACAAACGTTTCTGTGAATAATAGGCTTTGTGAGGTATTATTCTACAAATCCTAAATGTGAGGTTTAACCTCCTCATTATTATCCCTTTAATTTCAGAAAGCCTTTGAGGGCCTTAATCTTCCGCACAATTATGTCCAGGCGGAGCTGGTGGCCGCGGTGACACGGAGGGGTGGCAGGTGCTCGGGCTGACCTTTATCAAACACGATATTAAACTATCGTATCACGTTTCCTCATCCCAGGGCGGGGGCAAACGGACACTTCTCGGGGCAAACGCAACTTTTTTGGTGTCTCCTGAGTATGCTGAAGTGGGGCGATGCTGTCATGGAGCCCTGGGGAAGGCTCAAGGAAGCTGTGAATCTGGGGGGGGGTCTGGGAAAGGTGGGACACACACACACACACACACACACACACACACACACCCCGGAATGGTGGGACCCCCCAGGGAAAGATGGGACACCCCCCCCGGGAAAGGTGGGACCCCCGAGGGAAAGGTGGGACCCCCGTGGAGCTGCTGTTTGCTGCCCCCCCCTCCCCGCAGGTGTTTGTAGGGTGGCTCTGGGGGTCTCGGGGGTCCCCAAGTCTCCAGCGGGGAAGCTCTGTGGGGAGCAGCAGACCCCCGCATCTCGGGGGGGGACGGACACGGGACCCCCCCAGATCTCTGCCCAGTCTCGGGGT